GTTCTAATTTATTATTATTATAATTAGACGCATAATAATAATAATAATAATAATAATAATAATAATAATAATAATAATAGTTAATACTACTATGCCACTCCTAACAGTCGTTTTGGACAAAGCTGGTTTTCAACAATTTTCCGTTGAAATTGAATGGGCTGAACATTAGCTTTACAATACATCACTCTGTTGTTCTGTAACGGCTGTTTGTAGGGTACAGGGGCTCGTTTTCTGTTTGGTCGTTACGGTCACGCCTGTTGCCACCCGTAGAAAGTTTAGCATAAACTGTGTAAACACATTTATATCAAGAACACGGTGTTGCCAAATTCCATTACTGTTATGGATGTCTTATGGCGTTTGTAAACACATTTAGAATCAATCACCATTTCAAAAATGTCAATTTATATCATTTTTATGAATTATTATCATCACACAACCACCAAATATATTAAAGAACATTTTATTTTGTTCTATAGAATTGTTGTGCGTAACTTGATAACCTTTGTAATTCCCAACAGAGTTAATTTAGGATGACAGAAAGAAAGGCGAATTGGAAGGAATCTGGAAGAAAGCGGTCTTGGCCTAACTGAGGTACTATCCCGGTATTTGCCTGGAACGACTGAGGAAGATAACGAGGAACTTTAGTCAGGATATCCCTTGTCCAGGCCGACGATTGAACCGAGGACTTCTAGAATTTTACCCTTAGGCCAGCTTGTTCGGTCTAGTGAGATGGGAAGTAACTTACACATGAGGGCCGCGCCATAGTTCAAGCGGTTAGTCGCTGGCTTCACACCGCGGCGGCCAGGGTTCGATCCAGAGTCTGGTCAAGTGGGATTTGTGGTGGACAAAGTGACGCTGGGGCAATTTTCCTCCGAGTACTTCGGTTTCCCCTGCCAATCTTCATTCCACCGATTGCTCCACAATCACCCTCACCTATCATCTGGGGCTGGTACAATAGGCCAGAAGTGGCCGCAGTACAAGGGACTTAGTTCCACTCCACTAGCAATAAAAAAGCTTACACATGAACGACACAAATATTGATACACATTATCCAAAATTCAGGTGATACCGGTACACACACCATAGATACACACCTCTTACTCATATATAGAAACAGGACCAAACTACACGAAACATTCAGAACAGCTACACACAGCACCAAAGAAAAACTGACACACCATCAAAATATATTTTTTTTTATAGCTAGTGGGGCGTGACCAAGTCCCTTATACTGCGGTTNGGCCACTTCTGGCCTATTGTACCAGCCCCAGATGATAGGTGAGGGTGATTGTGGAGCAATTGGTGGAATGAAGATTGGCAGGGGAAACCGAAGTACTCGGAGAAAACCTACCCCAGCGCCACTTTCTCCACCAAAAATCCCACTTGACCAGACCCGGGATCGAACCCGGGCCGCCTCGGTGGGAAGCCAGCGACTAACCGCTTGAGCTATGGCGCGGCCCACCAGCAAAATAAGTAACATTACTACAGACAGAACACCAGTATACAACGTAAAATATGCACTTCATGAACAAAATATTAATATAAACAGTTGTAATAACATTACAGAGGTAACAGATCCACAACGTGTGCATACAGTAAAGTAAACAAGGAATGATATTTTAAAACTAATTTTTTAATTATTTTACACGTTTAAAATGCAAAGTGTAAC